AATGAGCTAGGCCCTGAGCCTTACTAGCATGGGACCAGGCTCCGCATTGAGAGAAAAAGGAGAAGAAAATCGGCGTGGGCGAAAAAATGTCGAGCGAAGAGAGCTGAGGGCTATGTAACCTAGGCCATCTGACCCCTTTTTGGCCTAGTTCCCCCACTGCGGAGCCTGGTACCTCACAAAACACAGCAGGAAAACAGGGCCCAATCGTTCGGGCCTAATTATAGCCTGCGAAAATATCCGTTTCTCCTCGCTCTTCGCCGCTGAGGGACGTTTCGCGAGGAGGAACGTCTGCGACTCAGCGACAGAAATTCCATACTGATGGCGTAAAATCTGTCCGCAATCCAGTCAATTGTTTATGGAGTGGCGATTCTCGCTAAATTTCAACCCCGAAATCGGATTCCATTGTTATATTTTAATATTTTCCCTGCTCGTGTTGAAACTTTAGGCCTCCGTGGCCTATTTTGAAAACATTACGAATTTCTTAGTTTCGTAATTAGGGAAAAAATAGATGAGTGAAGTGTAGGGTGAAGTATGTATGTAGGGTGAAGTGTATGAGTGAAGTGAGGGCGGTGGAAGGGTGAAATAATGGAGTGGTGAAAGTAAACAAGAAACTGAAATGAACAAAATGAAAATATTTTAAATGCCATTGGTTGATTGTTGTTCTAAGGGAAACTGTTTGACTGTCTGGGCCTGTTGGGCAAGAATTGAAAATATTCCGTTGATAAACGCCATAAATTAAAGAAAAGCCAAACTCAGCAGTTGTAAATTTCATTTTTGACATTGCTTTTTTTTCTTCCTCTCTTTACAGGAGACACACCAACAGTTAGCTGATCGTACTGGCCTTAATGTGGTAGAACTTAGAGCTGAGTGTGGAATGAGACCTGTAATTGTAGCCTCGCCTTCTGTTGACACCCAGAAAAAGGTGTTGAAAAAGAGAGCAGACAAAGATGAATACGACTTAAATGAAATATTTGATCCTTACAGGGGACTACATCGGCCTAAGAAAAGGACAGAACTGTTATGAACAAGAAAAATGAATAAATGCTCAAGCGGTATGTTTGCATGTATGTTGGATTGTCACGAAGACAGCCCTCCTCCTTGACTGTTGTAGCAAATAATTTTGTGGTGTGCAGGATGTATTAGAATCTTTCGCATATGTAATAAATTTTGATGTCTAGGAAAGTTCAAATCGGGCCTGTAGTGTACAGTCTGTCTTGCAGGTTGCGTAAAAAGTTTGTAGAACGTGGAGAGTAGTTGTACTTGTTTCAACAAAATATGTGCATGTTGCCTGTTTTACCGGTCCAAGGCTGTCTCAGTCTTTTGCAGCAAGTGAAGTGATGTTTATGGTATTGCTAGTATTGTACAACGGTTTTTTCTCAAACTGAAGAAGGGTCATAAACCCGAAACGTTTGTTTAAAAAAAAAAAACCTTTGACATTTTTTTGGTATTTCTTTATCAGATGTCACTTCGTCAGCTGTTGAAGTAAAAGTGTCACGCATTCCTGACGGTTTTTCCGTTTAACATGCGTAAGTGACAGATCATACGAAAGCCGAGTCCAATAAATTGACCACTACAGATAATAGCATAACACACCAAAATGCTCTTTGTTTATCAGCCCAAAATTTTGCATAAGCATTGTTCTCAGTTTCTCTTGGGGCCATTTTAACTCCCAAGGGAATCTGAAGACAATGCTTCTGCAAAATTTTGGGCTGACAAACAAAGAGCATTATGGTATGTTATGGTATTTTCTGTAGTGGTAAATTGTTTTAACAATTCTTTCAAAATAATTCATACTGGAAAACAAGCTTCCTCGACGAATTCACGATATGACGAAATGTTTAGTTTAAATAGCAGTTGTTATCAACTGAGTGGTATTTTTACTTTTCTTGCTATGTTTTTAGGCAGAAGAGTTTGGCTTATTTTTTCTTCGCAAAAAGGTGTTTACGTCATGTTCTACAACTCTTAAACAAACAAACAAACAAAACAAACAAACAAACTGATCGATCGATCGCAAGCTTGTCCCCAGAGGGTCTCGGTTGCCGTCCCTTATTCTGGCGGTAGCCTGTTCTTTTGACGTCATTTTACCGGAGATCGCAGATCTCTTCCAAATTTGATCAACGCTAGCTTGTTATGAAGAATTAGCCGGGGGATTTTAGCCAATCAGAAAAGGAGAAATATTTGAATGAATAAACGATTGTTGGACAGTGGGGGGCGGGGCACTGGATAAGGTTGAGCAAAATATCGTGATTTGTCAGTGGCGAACAGATCAGTTATTTACCGAGACACTGACAAACGATAACCGATAACCGAGTTCCATAGTTGTTTCATCATTCGATCTCCTAGTTTTTTTTAATGAATATCTTCGGGAAGCGAAGCGATGTGCTATTTTCACGCAAGAAGGTAAAAAGCGTGGTTTCATTTACGCATGAGAAAAATATTATTTCCAATTGGACGATATTACGCATGAGAAGACCATTATTTGTAGGCAGTCATTTGCATGTGACGTGGTGGGCTCTCGGCCAATGAAAAGGCACCTTAAAATATTTACTCCAATGTAAATAATCTAAATTAAAAAACTAAAAGCAATTTTTTTTGTTCTTTTCAAAAGACATCCAGAAAGTTATCGCAAGTAGAAGGTTCCTTTTAAAGAGAAAAGCCGTAATTAGCTTTTTGGACCACCAGAAAACCACTAGCTGGCATTCAGTGGCGCTAACAAGTGACGTCATCAATGCTAGAATAAGACACTCTTGAAAACACTAAACTTGAAGGGCCAGTTATTTAAACGGAGTTTAACCAATGTTTAACAAAACCGTGTTCTAAGTCATTTTCATTTTGCCCAACGCTTTTATCTAAACACCATTTGTCGTGAACAGTTTCATTAAAGCATATAGAGTAGATTAGAAAAGAATTTATCTTCTTAAATTGACCCACTAAGGAAGAGATCTGGAAGTCCAAAGATTTCTTAAACAGCGGTCTAAGTTAGACTTCGTTTAAACAACCGACCAGATGATTTTTCGAAAAAAAATTCCCTTCCCTCTTCCCAAAATCAGTCAACAAATATTTTATTAAACTTGCTTCCAGCCTCATAGTTTCACATGCTTTCCACATCGTATGTAAACAATAATTTAAGAAAAGTAAATTGTAAGCTTACCCTGGAGAGAATCTAATTTGGTTACTGCTCATTAAGGGAGAAGGAGTCTGGCATAAAGCCATATTTGCAGACAGCTGTTAAGACATTTTTAAACGCGTCTCTCTGGCAATTAAACATATGTCGTTAATATTATCGCCCTGAAAAACAGATATCGGATTAAACTGGTTAAACTGACCGCGAGTTTAAAGCAGAAAAGAAAGAAAAAAAGATTTTAGTACATACTTTTCAAACTGGTAACGCCTCCTTAAGGACAGAAATACCAAGGAGACCTTTTATCCTATTTTAATTCATGGGAATTTGTTTTCATTTTTTGGAAGCTAGATTATTAACGTGGTAATCAATATATCGGTGTATATATTATTAACCGGGGTTTGATGTTCTGTCAAATGACTGTGCCAGAAGCGACGTATATACCCAAAGATGGACAAAGATATTCATACATAATTAAAATTTAATTTTGAATTAAACTGGTGGTGTTTGAAAACAGCTATCACTTTACGTGAAACGGGTTAACAGCATTTGTCAAGTTCTTCCTGCTTTTTTACAGAGTTCTTCGAACGTTTCTCCAATCGATCGGTGATGTTGTCTTCTTCCTCAGTCAGCTTATCTCTCCTCATTCCGTTATTTTCTTTTATCAGACCCGATGCGGCTATTGCTCAACTGGAAGGTTAGTTTCCCTTACATTTATTTCAGTTTAGTCAGGTTGTTCCAGGGGCACCCAACGGGAATATAGTTCAAAACCACTTAAACATAGCATTTTTAAACGTATTTTAGTATTTAAACGGTAGATAAAGGCATATTTTTATCCCCTAAAAATTTTTCATCTGTTCGGATTTCCTAGCTGAAAGTCTAGTGATCCGAAATTTATAGGGATCAAAACTTACCTTTTCGAAAATTTCAGCCAGAAAATAGCTCCCGAAAATTCTAGGTGACCTTTTTAGGGTAAAAATCCGTTAAAAATAGGCAATTATACCATTTTTTAGATGATCGAATATCCTAGGAGAGGCAGGCAAGCAAGAAGTTTTACAACAAATGCTTCGAAAATTTTAGATCTCAAATCGTCTTCCGAACAGATATTTTTCCGAAAATGGTCGTTGGGTGCCCCTGTTGTTCGTAAACGTAGCCTTTGTTGTTTTGTATCAATGATAAAATGATAAAGAGATCTAAAGATTCTCGTCCTCCCTGCATAGCATATCACCCCAAGTTCGGGGGATATGATAGAAAACACACAATTATATAAGAACTGCTTAAAAAATTGAAAAAAAAAATAAGCGTATGAGCTATGTAAACCATGCTTTTTGTTAATCAGTTTTGAAATATCACAAAAACTACAATGTACAAAAATTTAACATTAAATCGTAGATTATCAGACCTATACTGACTGCCGAAAAAAAAAAGACAAAATCGTAGTGTTGAGTTCACGCTCTCAATAAAACGTTAAATGAGGAAGTTTTCGTGCAGTGACGGCAAAGAAATGTATCAAAAAGTGAGATGTACGTGGAAATTTTTTTTTTGCTAATCTGTAAGTACCCGTCCACACAAATCCTCATATTTTTTAGCTTTTTTTGAAACGGCATAATTTTTTAGGCAATAGGACGCTGATGAATAAACGAATTCTGTGGTTTCGTGGACGGAAGGCTGCATGATCGATTCATGCGATTCATGTTTCAAAAGTATCCAGATTCATGTGAACGGGGCCTAAACCCTTTTCCCTCTTAGCGTTTTCGTTCTGTCCTCAACGTTGTTGCTTACGCGCCCTGTTGATATCCGCGGCGGTGAGTTGCTCCCGCATTTCTCCATTTTTCTTTCTCCTGACTTTTTATTTTTGCACTTTTTAGAATTTACCACCATGTATCACACCAGTCTTCGTCAAGATGTTTTGATAAAGGAAGAGTACCATTACTTAAACGTGTCTAAAGTTGGAACATTTACAGTGTACAACAGCCTTGACTGCACCTTTGAATGCCTCGGTAATCCTTCCTGTTTGTCCTTCAACCTGGCAGCTTACAAAGGAGCAGATGGAAAGTTTCTGTGTGAGTTGTTATCGTCAGAAAAGTACAGCAATCCTGAGGAGTATAAAAGAAACGACAGTTTTCATCACTTTTTCGTCAAGGTGGGGTTAATTCTTTGTATAAAGTTTAAAGAAAGATAGTTTTCATATCTCAGTCTGTGGTGATTTTTAATAACGTGTCTTAAGATACTTTCGGGTAAACGTAAAACTCGGTGCCGTAATTCTTTAAAAAAGGTTCTTTACATAGAATATCAGCTAAGAAATCGAAAAAGAACCGGCGTAAAAGTGACTGACGATAAGACGTCGGAGTTATTCAGTCGAATCAATCACTTTCTCTCTTTTTTCTTGCTTCAACAATTAAACGCGGAGTCAAAATTACCTTAATGAAAAGATCGAAGGTAGTTGACATCCAAATTTTTTATTATTATTTCAGACTCCTTGCATGTCATCACCGTGCCAGAACGGAGGCACCTGTGTAGCGAACTACACGTATCACACGTTTGACTGCCGTTGCAAGGAAGGGTTTTATGGAGAATTCTGTGATCAAGGTAATTGCTGTACCGCCGCCCTGTACATCAATTCAAGGCAGCATAAATAGTAAAGCCGTCGTCCTAGATACTTCAAAGCCTATAGTCAGGTGTGCAACGTGCCAAAAATCGTGACGTTTGGCGTCTTTTAAACCTGCTTTGATGCATCTGCAGAGTAATTTGTCTTACTCTCAAAAGTAGATCTCTCTCTTGTCACCATCCGGCCAAAACCGATCAAGTTGAACAAAACCGGCGCTGGCTGTCAAATTACTAATTTGACATGACCGTCAAAGTTTGAATCATTTTCTTTTCAACAAAAGCTGTCGAACTCCCCCCCCCCCCCCCACACACACACCTCCCCCTCCTAAGTTTACCTATTGCTTTCTCTCCTCTCCGCCTCTTTTGCTTTTCTTCCTCCGTCCTTTTCTACTGACTTCATTTTGGAGAAAAAAATTAAAAGAAAACTGGTGACGTCACAAGTGGTACAAGAAACGTGGCTAAAGAAACGGGCAGTTTAAGTGGCTGGATGTAGTGTGAATTTGTTAACCCAAACGTAGTTTACGCCCCAAAGGTTACAGGTTGCTTAAGGCTTGACCAATCTGTCTCACATTAAAAGGCAAAAAGTGGGTAATTATCGGTTCGTGGTAAAGTAAGAGAAACTATAAGTTGAGATTATGTTTCAATTTTTTTTGTCAGTTGCAAAGTCATGTCAAGTCCTTTATGATCAGCTCAAGGAAAAGTGAGTATCACTACTGATTTAAATAATAATAAAATTATATAGGAAAAAATAAAATATGGAGTCTCGATGGGGCTGTTCGTACACTGTAAGACATTAATCGTTTTTGTAAAAAAGTTGACCGTAAAAAGTTTTTTAACTACAGTTTGTTATACAGGGAGTTTCGATGTTAGGACCGCACGCGACGTGTATCATGGCTGATGCATCTTTTCAACCTTTGTTTCCATCCTAGCAAGGTTCTTTGTGCCCACTGAGTTAAAGGAGCTGTGTTAGGAAATTTATCAATAGTAATAGCCTGCGTATAGTAGTCGTATCCTTTTCGTTTAAGCCAAGTGACTACATCACGAAAGACGCGCGAGGACATAGCCAAGGGCACTGGGTAGCCTGTTGTAGGCTCTCAGATAGTGAGGAAGACGCGAAAGTGAAAGGTACGCGAAAAAGTTCGCGCTTTCGCAATTCAGCGGATCCGACTATCACGGAACCTGGAACAGGCTACGCACTGGGCGTCTCGTTTCTACCTCTTGGCTCAAAGGAAACGCAGACCACTGCTACGCAGGATACTGCAGTGGTAACTGCCAGTAAACTGATTGAAACATAACCTGATCGACAACCACTTAAAACATTAAAAGAAGGTATAAAGAACAGGAAATACAAAATAAAGGCACGGATGAAAAAAACTTTTAAAAGGTTTAAAACGTATTGCAACTGCAAGAATGGCTGGGACGCTCCGCAAAATCGCCGACATTCGCGGAGGAGTACTTTTCAAACACCGATTTACATATAATTATTTTTTCGCTCGAACACTTCCGAATTTGGAGCTTTAATGTTTATTATATCCCAAATACGCATGTTTTAAACTACTAGGCTGCTTGAAGTGATGACCGTGTTTTGGTCGAGCGGTCAATGCCAGTCACGGCTTCTTTCAAGTTTGACGACTTCGAAGCCCGATTTACATGGTTTATTTTTCACTTTCCCAACGCATTTTACGACTTCGAGATAGAGAAATAAATAAATATCGTAAATATAACCGTACATTTAGAGAAAGTAATCTTTAACTATGTCTAGTTTTCCTTTTCGCTAAAAATTAACAATTATGGATATGATTTTTGGTCGCCATTTGGGGGCCTGGGAACGAAAAAAAAATTAGAGGCAAATGTCACGTAATTTTTTGGCATGGGAAATTATGGGATTTTTCGGAGTATTATGAAAGAACAACATCCAAAAGGTCTACTTGCCATAAAATAGCACTCCAGGTCAAATTGTCTCTGAGATATTAGCCCAGTTATGCTCTGATGACTCCATTATCATAGATCCTTCTAAATTTGACTAAGTTTATAACATTAGGAACCGAGTCAAATTTAGAAGAATATGTATGGAGCGATCAGAGCAAAACGGGACCAGTATCTCCGAGACAATTTGCCCCACAATGCTATTTTTTGGCAAGAGTAGGCCTTTCAAATGTTGTTCATTCAAAATATCCCAATAAATTCCATACTGATTTCAAAAATTTAATTTTATGACGTCATCGCTTTAAAACTCTATGTCCCTTTCCTATTCCTTCTGAACACCTGCTACACTGGTAACTAATGAAAAGTCATCTTCGATGACCGAACTTAATTCGTTCAGAACACTTTATTCAATTAAACTCATTATTGAGTAGTAACGTAACTGCCAGTAACGTTATATGGAACCTAACAAGAAATTTAGATTTGACTGAGGCTCTATTGAACACCATTTATTTTTATTTTTGTAAGAAAAAGCGAACTTTTTTTGACAACCAAGTAAGGAACATTCCTTTTTTTTCTCCCACAAGTAAAAACTGGAAAAATTAAAATGAGATTTTTATTTTGTACAGGTCGAACGTGACTCAGTTGGTCACTCTTCTCCTTGACTCCAAATTAGTTTCAGTTCTTTGTCACTTTGGAAATTTTGGATGCGGAGATGGAGGATGGACACCGGTCATGAAGATAGACGGCAAAAAGGTAAAACAGGTTTTTTTTCCTTTTTTCCTTAGTTCGGCGACGAGGGTGGAAAAAAAATGTGTTACAAATAAATACTGGTTTGCTTCCGTCACCAGTAATTTTCAATTATTCTAGCCTGCGATTATAGCCGTTTCTCCTTGCTCCTCACCACTAGGAGGAACGTCTGCGCCGATCAGCGACAGAAATTCTATACTGTCCGGAATCTGGTCAGGGGCTCTGATTAAAGGACATGAGTTACATTGTTTTACCTATTGTTAACGAATGACAAACAAAAGACAAAAGGCCACAAAGGTCAAGTTCTGAGGGAGCCCATTCCTTATAAGCCCGGTGGCTTCTCTTGGGCTTCCTCGCCATGAGAGTTTAAGTAATTAGATTTCATTTGATTTGTATAATTTTTTGGCAAACAAAACAATAAACAGTGCAAACGGGGTAGTAAACGTGATGAATCTACTACAAAAAAGTTAATATTCCTGGAATAATTATATTCTTCTTTAGAGAAAGCATCTGAGTTTTACTGAAACTCGTACGCAGTAGAACACAAAACTTTGCC